AACCTCAAGATGCATGGGAGCAACAACGCTCCTCATCAGGAAGTCCAGAATCACCACAACATGATGATCCTCAACAAGATGCTCAAGACAATCAACAAGAGGAGCCATCAGTGGACGTCCATGACGACCCAATGGGTGAAGAGGCTGTCAATCTCTGGGAAGCAGAAGATCCACCAGATGATATTGAAGACCCTGTGGTAGAACAGGCTACCAAAAGTTCAATTTCTGCATCGAATCCCTGGGTCCTGTATGAGGCAGGAATTGTCTGTGCAAGAGAAGAGAGCGGTGAACTCATCAAGAACTCCTCAGGAGAAAAAGTGATAGTTCTGCGTGAATGGAACCTACTACTCTCTTCACAAAAGATAGCACTTCGTAGACAATCGATCACTCGCTCAGATTGGGAGAAATTACCATGGACAGGACATCAATGCCTACTCTTCACAAGAGCTTGGGAAATTGGACGCATGTTGGCACACTTCCATAAGGAGCAAAATATTGAAGCCATGGAAGGTTATTTGAACTCTTGTCGACAATATTGGACAGACTGGATGCGAGGTCAAACTGCCCCAACAGGTTGGGAAGACAGACACAGTATCAACAGAGACGAATGGAGAGAGAAGTTCTTGCTATACGAAAGAGACTTAGCAATACAGAAGGACATGGAGTATCTCTCAGAAGCAGTCTTTGTCTTTTACACTAAGCATCTTGATCAGTTCATTAGAGAGAACAACAAACTCTGGGGAGATTTCTGCAGGAGAAAGAAGGACCGTGATGGTAACATTTTGGATGCACTGGAGTTGAACACACATGGGTATGACATGACTATCCAAGGAATTACAGTTCCCATGAACAAGAAAACAGTCATCCCAGAACCTGAACGGCATTTCTCGTTTTCCACAAAGATGATGATCATGGCAATCGATCTGTATGAAGATGAAGCACCTGCTAGCTTTAGCCATTTCACAGTTTTTACTTTGAACAAGCTTCGACAATTTGTGGATGGCAGAAAGGAATTGACAGCTCAATCCTACAGATTCTTTGTTGAACATGCCTACAATCAATTCTTTCAGCATGAAGCATTCCATCAATCTGCAAGAGCAAGGACAAAGGTCAGGGAATGCGGTTCAGGTGACTTCCACACATCTACAAAGCTCGATGGCTACATCTGGGTAGCTGGAAAGGACAAGATCGCTCACATCCCAGGATCAGAGCAACAGAATGTGGACATGGAAGGTCACGATGATGATGATGCTGAAGATGATTTGGAGTTTTTGCCAAGACTACAAGTTTTTGTCAGGAAAGAGGAGGAAAAGGCATCAGGCTCTCAGGAAAGAGAGGAAGAAGGTGTATGCTCTCAAGAAAGAGAGGAAACACAACCACAACAAGAAAGTGAGGTATTACCTGATGCAAATCCTCGAAGAAATATGGAAGATCGACAAGGACTATTTTTAGTCAGGCAACTCAAACCAGAGCACAGACAGATCCTCCATGATATTACACTCCAAGGCCAAACAATCCTCACAGAAGATGATCTTGAAGGAAGTCGACCCCTTGAACGTGGTGACATAAGCTTCTTCTCATTATGGTTGATGATGTCGGCATTGTCAGATGCTTCTTTTTCAACATTTATGGAGCAGTATGCACCTATGATGGGTTATGAGATCTCTTACGACAAGTACTATGAGTTCAAACTGGATATTGACCAAGTTCTCAAGGACAATGAACACCTTGGCGCAGAAAATTTCTTTGGAGCAGAGGATCCTCATATGGTGGACGATGATCCAGACACTCCACTTCCAGATCTTCAAAGACCAGGCGCAGGTGATCCTGAGTACAAGCATACCATTGAAAGTTTGAACATTGAGGACAAACATATCATTTTGGAAACTGATGATGACAAATTGGTTGAGTGTACATTGAAATGGATCAGTATGTGCAATCAGAATGTTCAACGAAAGATCAAGGAAAGTTTTGTCAAACCAGAAGAAGGACAAGAGAAAGAAAAGGATGAAGAAGAGAAGATTGCTGACGAAGAAAAAGAAGAAGAAAAAGACACACAGGAGCCACATGTCCCAGCTGAAGGCTCTTCAGAGAAAGAGGAATCAGCTCCACCTGAACGCTCCTCAGAAAAGGAGGAATCAGGGGAGAAGAAGACAGACATTCAAGATGATGAGACAGCTCCTGAAGTGAAACCTGCAGTTCGACTTTACTATGGTCAAGATATCACTGGAAACGAAGATGATTCAGTTTTTCGAAGATTGAAGGATTGTTTTTCAGATGGTTACCATGGTGAATGGGCAGGATTTTACAACAAAGGTTATCCAGCGTCTTCGAAGCATCGACATATGTTTTGGCATGTTAAGTACAGGAAGACCATGTCTCCACATCATGATTTCTGGTACCATCTTACAGATGACCAGTTGATGGGTGAGTACATTGCCAGACACAAGAATCAGGATCCACAACTAGAATTACAAGAACTTAATCAGCGCATTGAATATGGTTGTAGTGATCCAAGGATGCATCCTCTTCATCAAGACAAAGCAGAAAGATCCTCAAAAGAAGCAGAACAGAGGATTGATGACGATTTTGGAAATCTCACAAAGGTACTCCAAGATTACGTTGAGGAACACAAGGTCTTGCCTTACTGTATGATCTTGCATAGCTTGGCTTACAGGTACTTAGGTGGAGGCCTATCAGACCCAACGTACAAGGATGCTGAATTTCCATACAGATCCTCTCCACAGATAACAGCAATGTTTTGGAATTTGGGAAACTGGTGCAGAAACAGATTTGAAAAATGCCCGGTTCCAGAAAGATTTCAACAATTCATTCCACACATTGACTACACTATCGATGAGGATCATGAAAAATTTGATGAAACCAAATCACAGTTCAACAATTACTTCATCAATGTCATCAAGAACTTTGGAGGACATCTTTTCATGAATTGCGAGGCTGGTTCGTTGTATCCTCACAGAGAAAGACTCAACGAGGTTGACTTCAAAACTTGCTTCAATGACTATCATGACTTGATGGTGGCCGCTCGCCTTGGAAAGGATGGCTATATCAAGCAAATTGCTGGATATCACACAGATGACAACGACACACGAGTTCGACAAGTCTCATGGGCAATCTTTGAAGTATCTTGGGGAAAGACAAAGGATCGAGATACAGATGAGATTGTTGACTTGACAAGAGCTAGGATGAGAATGACACGTGTGTGCGTTTATCACGTCGGACAGAAGTATGCATCAGACTCTGCTGGGATTGTTGGTGAGTGCTTAGCTGTTATGGCTTTTGAGTGTGCCAGATATCAAGTTGACTTCATCGCAGGTGATGGAAACAAGGCATGCTATTACAGCACACCAAAATCTCCAGGTGTCCCTACATATCAACACAGCCTTATCCAATTCTGGATTAACAGAATGGTAGGTGTTGCAACACAAGCCATGCGCAAGAATTTTGATCCAACTTGCCCTCCAATCAGGGTCAAGCATTTCATTTCTTGCAGTTATCGTGACTTGGATTTTCTTGCAACGCACTTGGATGGCATTACAACAGCAACATACACCGACGAGCTCATGAACAAGACAAATGGTAAAGGTGATTGTTGTATGTTAACAGTTGTTGAGTGGGGTCATTCACGTTTGATGTGTGAGGAACACCAAGAAGACTTTGAGGATGAAGATCACATGAACTATGTGGGTGAATTTTACTTCAAGGTAAATGAAACTTGCTTACATGGTGATCACAACATCTTCATGGTTGCTCCAAATGATCGCGATGCTCATAATCCAATTCTTATCCATCTTGATCCTTCTGATATGTCATGGAATGAACGACATCATTACAAACAGGCCTACAAGAAGAAGCAGTATGCTGATTCAAGAAAGGAAAGACAGAAGGAGAAAAAGAGAAAGGCATATGAAGATCAAGCATCGACGTATCAGGGCAACACAGAGTGGGGTGGATCCTCATCTTCAGCGTCCAGACCATGGAGATCAAGTGAGTGGCGATGAGTGAGTGTACACTTCTTTAATTGAAGATAACACAGCATGAGAAGCCGTGTACAGTTTTTTCTGTGCGTTCAACTTATTTCACAGAGATGGCATATACTCTTTTAGATAGAGATAATGCCACAAGTGTCTGAACTTCAATTTAATGTAAAATAGAGACTCTTGTAAATAGAGATACTATACACATTTATCTCCATGAACCATCCGGCGAGCAGACCACTCCGAATGGAGCGAACTTCAAAAATTTACCAACTTCGATTTCAGTCCATTGTTTGCTTGAATGAGCAACTTTGGAGATCCGCTATTTCCGTTTATTTCGTGATTTGGTCAATTGTTTTCGTATGACCTGAATTTCTGAATCTTGCGAACCCGAACTTTTCAATTCGAACTTTCACCGGTAGAGCAAGGCATTTTGCCTGTGGAGAGACCGTGCGCGAAGCACCATTGGTCACTACTGGAAAAATTAGCGAATCCGCTGTTCTTTTTCGACATGTCCTTAGGACATTCGCTGCTTTCACGTGTTTTTCAATTCGAAGCCACTGCGTAACTCCGGTTTCTTTTGCTATTTGCCATTGTGTAGAGAAGTCAGGAAGATACTCTTAATACCAATTGGGTACGGCAAGGCGTAGTGCTCTACTCATTGCTTTTGAATTTGTGCCTGTGTTTTTGTTTCGACCTAATACCTACATAGGTACATGCATGAGTATTGAGCACATTTATATGCGCCTTCAAGGCTCAAGAAAGAGGTATATAGAGTAACCCTGTAGACAAGCACAGACCGGCAACAGGCTGAGTAAAACAAGTGCTGTCATTGGGGAAGACGCCTTAGCTGATCTTGAAGTAGACGCTAGGGCCCCTCTTCAGCCCTCCCCCCTGCACCCCCCCACCCGCATTTCTTTTTAACCGGCTCCCCTTGCTACCTACTATTCTTTTGTTTTTTAATGAGTATCATCATTTATTTGGGTTTATGTGTCTTTGAGCATGCTCTGGTTTGGCAAGAAAAGAAGACTCCCCTCAGATGTCATGGGAAGGAGGTCATTGGAGGCGCAGGTGATTAGCTCTTGAGGCGTAAGTGATTAGTTCTTGAGGCGTAAGTGATGCACGGAGGCGTAAGTGATGTGGAGGCGCAAGTGATGTAAAAGTGGAGGCGCAAGTGATGTGTTAGCCCTCTGTAGAGGAATAGAATCTTCCAACCCTTGACTCATGGCAGTCCTTTTCTTAATTTGGGGATGGTATGCACCTGGATTTGCTGCAGCTGATTTGTTACTTTCCCATTGGCTAGTCCACAATGATCAAAACTTTATATAGCCATGATGTTTGGATTCTCATTGTGAGATGAATGACCATACCACATATACCATGTTTTAAACCATGACACACGGGGTTTGTCTGACTTCGAATTGCAACAGTGTTTCGTTGCGGTTGCATATAATAGTATATATATATATGTAAATTATATTTATATTTTGTTATTGTTGACAGCCCCTGGGCGGTTGATCATTTGTTGGAGTACAAAAGTAGCCCCAATGGTCCCTTCTGCAGAATTGAATTGGCCACCCCGATGAATCAACATGAATCAACCAGTGTTTCTGAATCTGGGGTTGGCATTATATTTGCGGGTTCATCTGCACCCCAAGATTCAATATGTTTGATCAGTTTTCGGAGAAACCTGTGGCATGTCCGAAACCATAACCATTGACCAAATGACCTACCGGAAACATGTCCTTTCAAGCCATCCACAATGTCAGAAAACTCTACGTAAATGGTAGGGTGCGGATGTCTGAAGGTTTTGATTAACCAGAAGCCCATTCTGATGAACTTCCAGCCATCTAAGGCATTATCCCAGGTATGATCCTGTTTTTTGAGTTCCAATTTTTACATCTGCTTGATGCCCATAGCAGAGAAACTCCTGGTGATCCTGAGGCTCAGCAGAGAGACTTGTGGAGGATCGTTGGGAGGTGCCATCCAGCGATATCCAGCGTCATGGCGTCACCAACTTTGTGGGTCCATTGGGCCATGGCTTGGATCGCCAGGTGTTGCCCTCGATGTCCTGCCGGAGAATACGAGCAGCCTCTGTGGTGATACAGGAGAAGTGGTTGGGAGCTGAAGTACGGGATACCTTTGATGACATCATAGCTGGGCATGGCTAGAGCAAAGTGTGCATACAACAAGAGAATATGCGAAATCAGAATGATTTGACAGGCAAAGACACCATGGCACTTGCTAGATGCTGCGGATTTTTTTGAGACTTTTCCAGATTAACAGTCCTAAAAGATTCAGCATTTCCGCTGACTTTCGTGACGGACTCTGAGGTTTGTCTGCGGCGGTGGAGATGGACGTCATGCGCGGCCCTTGTCATCTCTGCACCTCTTCCTCCCGCCATGTCCCGCCGGCGCTCAGGTCCTGAACTCTGCGGAGGTCTTGGATCTGGGCGGCATCTGGCAGGGCCTCCAGCCCATGGCCAGCCCGCGAGACCCTGCCATGCTTATCATGCTGCAATTCTTGTTTGAAAAGACATATTATGTAGATTTATGTAGATTCGTAGATTTGGATCGATCTCTTTTCTGATGGCTGTCGTGGATTAGAATGACAATCTTGGTGAATTTTTCAGTTTTGTCACACTTATGAAGCAAAATGATGCAACATGTAGCGAGTCATGTAGTAATGTAGCAATTTTGCTGCGCCCAAGATGTAGCCGCAGCTCGGCCAGGGTGGTCCTGTGTGGCAGGAGTCGTTGCTGGCTGCCTCTATGCTGCTTGACTCCAGCCATGCCAGTGGAAAGTGAGGATTATCGTTGGCCAATACTGAAAGTGTGAATGGTTCCTGTGGCAGTTGGAATGGCGATTGTCATTCTTATTGGTCAAACAACAAATGTTATTCTTCGTACAAGTAGTACCGCACAAGGCGGTGGCGGAAGTTTCAAAAATAGGAAACCTATAGGAGAGGTTGGTTGTTGTGGGATGGCAGAGCGAAGCCACTGACTCCATCTATTTCTCTAGCTGTCTCTCTGACTATTTATCTATCTGTCTGTCTGTCTGTCCATCTATCTATCTATCTGTCTATCTATCTATCTATCTATCTATCTGTCTAGCCATCTATCTATCTATCTATCTATCTATCTATCTATCTATCTATCTATCTATCTATCTATCTATCTCTCTTTTTCATCTCTATCTGTCTAGCTGTCTACCTGTCTATCTGTCTATCTATCTATCTGTCTACCTGTCTATCTGTGGTGCAGTGTCATTCAGTGTAATGTAGTGTGGTGTAGCAGAGTGTGGCGGAATGTAGTGTAGTGTAGTGTAATGTAGTGTAGTGTAATGTAGTGTAGTGTAGTGTAATTTAGTGTAGTGGAGTGTAGTGGAGTGTAGTGGAGTGTAGTGGAGTGTAGTGGAGTGTAGTTGTGTAGTTGTAGTTGTAGTTGTAGTTGTAGTGTAATGGAGTGTCGTGTAGTGTAAGGTAGTGAAGTGTAGTGGAAGATAGTGTAGTATAGTGTAATGTAGTGTAGGTGAGTGTAGTGTAGTGTAATGTGGTGTAGTGTAGTGTAGTGTAGTGTAGTGTAGTGGAGCGTAGTGTAGTGTAATGTAGTGTGGTGTAGTGTGATTTAGTGTAGTGGAGTGTACTGGAGTGTAGTGTAGTGTAATGTAGTGTACTGGAGTGTAGTGTAGTGTAATGTCCTGTAGTGTAGTGTAGTGGAGTGTAGTGTAGTGAAGCCAAGCGACATCTGAACTTCCAAAAGTGGTCCGAACCCCTCGTGTTTTGAACATTTTGACTTCGAAATGTGCTTCGCACCACAACGGCATGCACTTTTTCGACATCTGAACCTCCAAAAGTGGTCCGAACCCCTGGTGTTTTTAACATTTTGACTTCGAAATTTGCTCCGCGCCACAACGGCATGCACTTTTTCGACATCTGAACCTCCAAAAGTGGTCCGAGCCCCTGGTGTGTTTTGTGCATTTTGACTTGGACATGTGCTTCGCGCCACAACGGCGTGCAATTTTTCATCTCTCATCTGGCCAGCTAGCTCCGCACCCGCCGCTTTAGCGAGCCTACTTTTCGACCCTCCGGAGCCACAAATCATTGGAAAAAACACCGTGAATCGCGGCTTTCCTACCTTTTTCGCGCATCTTACTCTTTCTCTTCTACTCTTATCTTTTCTAAACTTTCTCTTCTCTCTGCCTCTTCCCTACTTTGCTTTTCATCTGTCCATATTGTCGGAAGTTTGACTTCTAAACTTCCTTCGATTGTTCATATTTTCTCCCTTTCATTGATCTTATGTGTATATATAGAAAAAAACCTGGAGAATTCTTCGGGTCAACGCAAGAACCTAAGGTATTTCGGAAGAATAAGAAAGCCTTGGTTTTCGATTGAAGACCTCGGGTATTGATTTTGAACCCGTACCTAACCCGTACTTGACTTAACCGGTACTAATCCGTCCGTACCTAACCGGTACCTAACCCGTACCTAACCCGTACCTAACCCGTACCTAACCCGTACTTTCAGAATGGGTTAAAACACCCTGGGTTTTGTCAGAAAAACTCGGGTTTTTCAAACCCTAAGATTTCTGCGGGTTTTGGTTCTCAAGGTATTATATTATATTATATTATATTATATTATATTATATGATATTATATTTTATGTATATTATGTTTTTAGTTTCTCGGTGGCTTACCCGCACTTCGTGGCCAGTCTCTCCATTGACCCAACAAGGTTTGTGGTGGCGGAGATGGTGCATCGGCCGCTTGGACCTTCGTAGCCAGCTGTGCTGTGCAGCCAGCTGGGGATGGCTCCAAACCTATCGATTGATGGAGATGAATTGGGGGATTTAACCATGAAACATAAGGATGCATAAGGGATATCTGGGGATATGATATATCTATTTTTGGGAGGTGAACTGACCAATGACCAATCCCCACATGCTCATGTTGCTATCATGTTGCTATGATTTGCTATGATTTGTTATCGCTCTTGTTTCCTTAGTGGTTCCCATAGAATCCCAATACGTTGGATATAGCATACATATTACTCGATTATGGCTAGAATTGAAACCAAATTGGAGATCTGCTGCAATACCAGCAGTATACATATTATACCCATATCACACCAGCAAGATTATGCCAATATTGTAGCCAATTCATCTGATGTGAAGTAAAATGTGGGTTCTGCTGAAGGTCCTCCAATCTGCGGAACGCTTCGATCCAGCGAGCGGCTCTTGGGAGGAGAAGTTCGAAGACTTCTGTTGCTGTCGTTGGTGGAAACGCAGGTTTTCTGTCATATTTTCAGATAGAAACCCAGTGGACTCCCAGGAAAATGCATGGAACATATATCATTTGACTATGTTTGATCTCGACTTTCGTGCAAACAATGGACTTTTGTTTTTCCCCAAACAGTTTAATGTTGGGGTTATCAATTCTCTCTTAAGAGATGTCCGCCTCTTTCCAGGTGTTGTCCAGCTCTCCGGATGTGCCGAAGTTCACTTGTCTCCCAGTCTGGCTGCTGGTGTCCGGCTCTTTGGATGTGTCGCTGCACTTGTCTCTAATCATTTGTCTCTCACCATCTGTCTTGTACTTCATCTGTCTCCGAAGTTATTTGTCTCCAATCGTATGTCTGCCTTAGTGGTGGTGTCCTGTAGTTTCATCATGATTTTATTCATGTTCTGTTTCGTACTTGTCTCTGTTCTTTACTGCCTTTGTGTCTTTTTGTTGTATCAAGATAAAATCATGTTCCACCACGGGTTTTTGTGTTTTACCACTTGTCTCCCACTTGTCTCCTACTTTGTCTCCCTCTTATTGTCTCAGATACAGCTGCCGTTGCTTGTGATTCATGCTGTTCTCAGTTGACATGGACCAAAAATTGCCAGCATCAGGAGCTACTACAACCACAAACATGCATTCAGATACTGCAATGGGTATGGAAGAACTGTTTGGAGTCTACGGGAGTGTATTTTTTTGCAGTGAATCTGCAGCACCCTCAGCTTTTGATGTGGTTGTATGGGTGTCGGTCAAAAGTATGAAACAGCCATTTGAATGATTTCAAACTGGTACTCATCCTAATATTTATCATGAACGGTTTCCTTTTTTCCCTTTCCCAAACTTAAAAACTTGGGGTTTCTATAATTGGTAAATCCCAGTTTGGGAAAAGATTTAAAACCCATATTGCTACATATTTCTAGATATTTCACATATCGATTCTGGTCCCATTGGACTTTCCAGGAGCTCCCGGCGATGAGTTGCGCGCGTTGGGATGCCACTGCAGTGGTGGCAGATTGTTTGTACGTCTTGGGAGGCGAGCATCGCATCGGTGGAGGGCCGGGGATGCTTAACCAACAAAAAAATGGGCTGAACTCAAGGACCTCATAGATATTATAGATTCTGTGTGTATATATATATAGGTATTAATATGAAATTCTGGGATGAAAGCAAGAACATTGGATAGATAATGATAGATACGGGGGTATAGAGTCAACTACAACCCGCTTGGTATCAACTCAACTGAGATGTTCACCTAGGAAATAGGAAATTAAGTAACCATTCAGTGCATTCAGGAGATTTCATTTGATTTTGTCCGATTTCAATGATCCCGACTTGACGAATAGTACTTGGATTGAAAACGCCAACCAGCAGTACGATCCTGATGGTTCTATCAGGAAACCACCAAGCAGCTGCATTGAACCAGCAGTTTTTCTTTTACAGTTCTTTATGTTTTCTCTCAGCCCCTTTTTGGTGATTCGAACATCACCATATTCAGTCAGTGGAAAGTTTCCTTAGGCACTGATGAATCGGAAGCTTTGAACTCTGCGGAGCGCTTCAACCACCAGTCCGGTGTGGGGGGCCTTGGGCCAGCTCTTGGTGTACTGTGATTTGATGGAAATGCAGAGCTCTTCAGCTTGTGGCGCCTTGCCTTGTGTGGAATTTGTATGACTTGGCTTGCAGCTGCTCGGCTGAGCGGGTGCGTATCCTTTCATCCTGCCATGACGTGTTGTGGTGTTGTGGTCTGAAAGAGCAAAGGTATCTAAAAGATTCTAAAAGGAAGATGTGAAAACTGCTCAGAGAACCCTCCCAACATCAGGCTGGAAAAAGACCGCAGACAAGGATTACGATGGTCTAAAATCGAGCAATTTGAGACCTCCGCATTTTTAGGTTTGCTAGGTTCGTAGACCAAATCTCCACTACACAGCAGCACCCCTCAACCACTGGTGGGTGGTTTCAAATGAATTTCTAATGGACTGTGGCTCAACCAGCGACCCAGTTACAGTACTTGGCACCTTCACAGACAGTTCCGAACTTCAATGGATGTCTCAACTCTGCGGTTGGAGCTACAGGCACACGGGTTTCACCTGTGGGGCAATGTCAACCTGGGTTAGTACACTCTGGCGGATGATTTCAGGGGGCTGACGTGATGTTATTTCATCATAATATATCATCATAATATATCAATATCATCATGTCTAATCATAATCCCATTTTATTGAAGAAAATCCGAGGTAACCGGTTAAGCCTCTATCTTTTTTGTGACGACATGTTTTGCTTCAGTGGGCCCAAAACCCGTGGAAACGGTGCAGGAGGCTCAGGCCGAATTGGAGCTGAAAGACGCTGAACTCAAAGCGTGTGGTGCAGGGCTCAGGTTCATGTGGGTCATGGATCATATGAAATGTCGCCTGGATGAGGATGCTGATGATGCTGGTGATGATGACTATGATTGTTAATTATAAAAGGGCTAACGCCCTGGTGCCGCCGACCCCCCTTTTGGGGGGGAGTCCAGCCGCTCCCCAGTTTGACATGCTGGGATCCAATGAGTGCAGCGCATAACAGGAGTATCACAGGTACTCATCCTTTTGCATCTCAGCAACGCATAATTCGGAGGCGTGTAGATTTTGTACACTAATGCTTGAGCCCGGAAAAGCATCTAAACATACCCAAACACGCACAGGAGCTGCACTAGATGGATGATTCCAGTGCATAACGAAATCAGGCGTTTTTACAATCGTTGGAGTATATTGATAGTAAGAACACCATTATTGCTATTGATATTGCAATTTGGCGCATTTTCCCACTCGACAGTTGGACGCCTAGTGTTGGGCACAAAAATACTTTGGGCCGCCAATGCAGTCGCACGCAGTGGCACATCCCACAACCGGCCAAGCCAAGGAAAGATGCACCCTGAACTACTAACTGGAGTGAGTAGAAACAACTGCTAAGCGGCAGTTTCGAGAGCGGGCAGCTTGCCCAACGGGAGGTTGAAAACATCGACTAGATACATGACCGGGCAACTTGGAAGTGGAGAAGGTGGAGCAAGGAGGCCCGAGTAGAACCTAGCAGCACTGAGAGACAAGAAACTCTGCCCATCAAGGCTCCTTGCTGCACTTCCTCTGAGCTCAAACCCATCTCCACATCTGTCGCCAACAACAAACGTGTCGCAAAAGAGCACAGTCCGTACCAATCACGGAGGCCATGGAACTCACCAGGCATCTGGTCTGCCAAGACCTTCATAAAGGCTTTGGCTTCAGAAGGTGGGCGGGTTGGCCCTAGTAGAACCAAAACTGCCAAACTGCAGTTTCGAAACACCTCATAGATACATGGCCGGGCGGCTTGGAAGGCTGGAGAAGGCATTGCAAAAAGGCCGTAGCAGAACCTAGCATCTTGGAAGGCAATTTAGCCTTCCAAGCTTTTGCCTGGTCATCTATTGGAAATTTCGAAACTGCCGTTTGGTAGTTTTGGTTCTACTAGCCAGCCGGAGAGAGGCAAGGAGGCCCTAGCAGGCCGAAGAAGGGGCAGGGCAAGGGCTGGTTCTAGTAGAACCGGCAGCTTGGATGACCAGGTTTGGAAGGCTGGAGTGAGGCAAGGAGGCAAGGAGGCCCTAGCAGGCCAAAGAAGGTGGGGCAACGGCTTGGCCTAGTAGAACAAAAACTGCCAAACGGCAGTTTTGAACCCTTTGAAAGATACATGACCAGGAAGCTTGGAAGGCTGGAGTGAGGCAAGGAGGCCTTAGCAGGCGAAAGAAGGTGTGGCAAGGGTTGGGCCTAGTAGAACAAAAAGTGCCAAACGGGAGTTTCGAAATTTTCCTGACCAGGCAGCGCTTGGAAGGCTGGAGTGAAGCAAGGAGGCCCTAGTAGGCCGAGGAACGTGGGGAAAGGGTAGAACCAAAACTGCATGACCAGGCAGCTTGGAGCGAGGCAAGGAGGCCTTAGCAGGCCAAAGAAGGTGGGGCAAGGGCTGGGCCTAGTAGAATCAAAGCTGTCAAACGGCAGTTTCGAAACTTCCAATAACATGGCCAGGCAGCTTGGAAGGTTGAAACTGCCAATCCTAGGCCCAGCCCTTGCCCCACCTTCTTTGGCCTGCTAGGGCCTCCTTGCCTCACTCCAGCCTTCCAAGCTGCCTGGTCATGTATCTTTAAGGGAAATGGCAGTTTTGGTTCTACTAGGCCCAGCCCTTGCCGCACCCTCTTTGGTTTGCAAGGGCCTCCTGGGCCTAGTAGAACCAAAAATGCAAAACGGCAGTTTCGAAACCTTTACTACATACACTTGGAAGTAGAACTTAGCAGCTTGGAAGGCTTGAGAAGGTGGGCAGCGAGGGTCGAGTAGAACCGGTAGCTTGGAAAACTTGAGAAGGCCGCGCAGAAGGCCCTAGTGGAACCTACCGGCTTGGAAGGTCGAAGAGAAGCAAAGTAAATGGCAAGGCCCACGCGCAATGCCACACACCTGCGGTGATCCCAGGCGCCGCCCCGCCTAGGCCAGAGCTAGGCAGGGGTCGGCGGATATAGTGTTAATATTATCACTACACTTTCAAATGGTGCTCTTAGATATCGTTATCATTTTTTCATGGTTGTTGCCTTTCTTATTAAAATTGATACTGTATGTATCGCGTTGCTATGAAGATGGTGATGTGTACTGAGGTGGGCCAGAGAATTGCGACAATCCTGGATGGCTGAGGGAGGAATACCAAGCCCTGCAATCGCAGCTTTCGCAACTACAGGAGATAGAAGGGTGGATTCGATGGCTTTGTCATGGCATGCCCAGTGATCCCATCCATATGAAACAAACCCTAGAAACCATAGTTTACTAGAGGATTTTACAAGTATTCAGGACTATTTTGGGGGGTGTTTAGTATTGGTGGGAAGGGGCGACTGGCGAATACTGTACCCCAAATGACGACCATTTGAACGGAGGACATGATGATACCCGGCATCGGATACCACCCGCCTTGGTGCCTGATGCCCCTAAGGAGCAAGCAAAGCGCAGTGGCCAGGAGAATCTGCACTGTCATGGAGGGTGGTGCGCTCATTTCCTTCTGTGGAGGTAAAAGGTTTGGAACTGGATTGTAGCCTCCCGTAACTGAGAAGTCTTTTGGATTTGGGATATATAGTATATATATATACTTGTACGTCTATATATATAATCTATACATATATAATATAATGTGTATATATACGTATATATATATATACATACATATATATATATATATACATACATACATACATACATATATGTATATATATATATGTATGTATGTAATGTATGTATGTATGTATGTAATGTAATGTAATGTAATGTAATGTAATGTAATGTAATGTAATGTAATGTAATGTAATGTAATGTAATGTATGTATGTATATATACATATATATATATGTATATATATATATATGTATATATATATGTATATATATAAATACATATGTATATAATAAAATGCATATATATATAATATATTATAATAAAATGTATATATATATATAATAAAATGTATATATATATAATAAAATGTATATATATATATAATAAAATGTATATATATAATAAAATGTATATAGATATATATATGTACATATATATATATGTATATCTATATGTATCATATTACCTCAGTCTATCGGTAGTTGGGGGTCCAAGAATTTGGATTCATCTCCACATTTTGTTATAGTCAACTATGATCAACATTTTTTTCTTAAAAAAAATGGATATTTTCGCGATGTTCGTTGGTGAACACAGGTGAATCAGTGAACCTCGTGATCCCTCCTATTGTTACATTGTTACTTCGATGGATCCCCAGTGGGTTACTTCAACTGCAGGAGTCTGCTTCCTTTCGCATGTCGCGCTCTGCGATCCTGGAAGACGAGCTGCGGCAGAAATCGGAGGTGCCATGCAGCTGGTTGCTGGTGTCTGGAAACCAACAGCAGGATTTCTCCCCTTTTTTTCCACATATTTTTAAGGGGGGATGTTCAAGAGCATTGTTTGTTTCTGTTCCAATTCAAATTTGAGATTTTGAGATTTAAGGTGGACTTGAAGGGTTTCCGAGAAGTTGGGCACATGGCTATATGCACGGGTTTGTGTTGGTTGGATGCTCGCAGTTGGTGGATTTGGTTGCGTTTGGTTGTGTCCAAGCTGCTTCCCATCCAACCTGGAGGATATCCAGGCTGTTTCACTTGGATCTGCCATAGGGCCATAGGGTCTTTCCTTTAAAATGTTGCCCTTAAAGCCCCAAAGTCCGTAATCATCCTATTCATCCAGCACTTTTTCGTGCTGAACTCCCCAATTTCTGTCGGTGATTTTGGAGGTGGTGCGACAACTTCGTCAGCGTGAGCTCTGGTTTGAGCTGCAGTTGCAACGACAGCAGGAGTCTCTGAAAATGGGTTATGAAACCAGCGACATGTAAGGACATGTAAGATCATGTAAGGATATTTATGGGATATTTTGGGATATTATGGGAGATATATTCTTCAAATGTATCACCAACTTTTTATACGATCTTGGGTATGTCTGAAGATGGCGTATACCCAGAAATGGCAATTTTAATAGGGAACGTGATTACAGTATAAATCATGAAATTGGGGGGTGCTCTATTTTCAGACCAACCCACTTCGAGATGAGTCAAAATTGGGCACCCCAAAAATTGGATACTAACACACAAAGGTTTTCAATTTTTCACCCTGGTGATATTTGACTTGAGCTCCAAAGGTTTCTTAGATTCCTTGTTGAGTCGAACAGTTGAATCAACATTCCGTGCTATTCCTCCCAGTTACTGCAGTCTGCATCGAATTGTGACCAGGAAGCTCATGGAGAAGCTTTAGATTCCCTCAGAGATGAGGCCAGCAGTTTCAGCCGGGAGTGGATGGTCTAGGAAAATCTCAAAGGAGTTGAGAAGTTGTATGCTTTTGTTGGTTCGGTGTTGCATGTTGAGATCACAGGATGATCCAACCTCAAGATGCTATCACATGTCAACCTGCTCAGACTCCATTCCCTCAACCCTGCCCGGGAGTTGAGAAGTGACATGCCCAGGGACCCCCAGGGACCCCCAGGGACCCCCAGGGACCCCCAGGGACCCCCAGGGACCCCCAAGTGAATTCAGATTTGTCAAATAATCTTGCACAAACGAGTGGATCTTCCAAGGGATGTGTGTTGATATTGGACTCCAATATGCATCCATATTGAAGGGATGGTCATATCCCAAGGCCGAGGGATTATGTATCTCGGCATATTCAACAGGATGGTGAGCTTCTTCTAGCTGAAGTCCCTCTTGCTTTGGCAAGATATTGGGGGGTGCTGGAATCTCCGATCAAACTTCATAGTTATACCCTCCCCCTCCCAGGTTCACAAGCAGTTTGGCTGGGCTCAATCCCCCCCGGGGACACCGGCAGAAAATTCGGCAGCATCCGCATCCTCAGCATCATTGTGTTTTCATGCCAAGCTTTCGTCCCTTACCTCTGGGCCTCAAGTTGGATGACCACCCCCCCGGGTGTTCACAATGGCGCATGACTCACCCGGCAGGTCTTCGCTTTGCGAAAGCAGGCCCTGATGCGGCGACTGCCGAGTGCATCCAAGGCGTGCTTGAGGAGGAGGATTGTTTGGAGAGGAATTCGACCAAAACTCTGGTGGTGTTGCCCCAAATTGGAGGATGGGCCCCCAATTTCAGGCCATTCTTATAGGGAAAATCATCATCAAGTTGAGAAACATCATAAACCATGAAATTATATATATGGTGGCCATGGGGGAAAGCAATTTGAGCCAATTAGATTGTAGGAAACCGGGACTGCAACCAAAGCCTTCAGTGAAGCGAAAGTTGCAGCTGCGAAGGCTGCAAGCATTACAACGGCTCCATCTCAGTTCCTTGGCTGTAGAGGTTGTCCGTGCTTCCAGCTTGCAGTTTGTAGACCTAACATCGTGATACTCGTGGAAATCTCGTGGATAGATTTGCTAGCGCCTCTGATTCTTTTCCACTTCGTGCTATGGTCATTGTATGATCACATGCAACGAGGACAATTCCAGCTTACAGTGGCCAAATGTGCCCTCAGACGCAACCTCAGAGCTGGAAGAAAGCAACTTGGCTCTGACAGGATGTGGAGGTGTGCCTTGAAAATCTGACTTAAAAGAGGAGCAACTCAAAGCAACTCAACGATGGAACAAGTAAATGTTAAATCAAGTCGGTTTTTGCCCAGAGAACATCAGCGGTTTCAGTTTATGTTGTGACTGTCATCACTGTCCAGTCTTTGGCCGCTAGGATCCACTGATGCAATTGACACAGCATTTGCGGTCGGAATTGGAGGCGTGTCTGACATCGAACATTTCCCAAACGTGCGTTTTTTTTCTGCTGAGTTTGCAGGGGAACTTTGCTTGAAACAGCAATGCACGAGATGAACGCCAAACCTTCGATGCCAAAAAAACAGGGTTCGTTGTACGTCGGTTTGGGAATGTTAGGGAACATATTTTTGCCTGATTTTTTTTTGATTTCTGCAGGCTCGCAACTTGTAGATCCTGGTCGAGTGGGTCCAGTGGTGCTTGGAAGACCCGAGCAATGAACTTCCTGACCCGATCTGCTGAGCTCAAAAAAGCTGCTGGAGTGTTGGAGTTGATGATGTGGTGTCAGGCCATGGATACTAGCAAATTGAAGACTCCATCTTTGCAGCTTTTGGTCAACTTTTGAGAAATAACAGATAATTTACCAAGTGTATCAATAAGTAGATCAACAAGTATCAACCTTCCCACATTTTTCAGGGTGACATTCCAAATTTGGCGGTATCATATTACCAAATCAAAATCCTGGTGATTTGAGGCCTGGGAAGTCCTTCCCAGCATGGTGCAAGCTCGGTGCAGGCCGGGTACGAACAATTGGGGATTGATTTCATCAACTAATGCCATTGTTCTCTGGTTTCAATATGTTAAAATTAAAATACAATAATTTGCTGGGTAATAACGTGCTAACCCTACCAATAATCATAGGTGTGAGCTATAAAAACGTGTGGGGAATCGGGGAATGGGTCAACAATTGGAACAACAAGATCAACATGGGATGGTTTGATACAATATTTGATATTACACATGAACAATATTGGTGACTTAGTGGTTTGATTGGTACCCGGGTACCCCCATCTCGACCCGTAGACAGGTGTCATTTGAGATGTCATTTGTTTGCAGGGGTGCCGCGGCAATACTGATTGGCTGATCGGCTGATTGAGTGTAAATTTCATGATTTTTAAGAAGGAAGTCGACGTGGGGTGGACAGTCCTCACAGTTGCCACGGTTGGCTGCGATGACTAATGACCAGTGACCAAAGTGACCAAAGCGACCACAGTAACCACAAATGTGGTGCAGGTGAACAGAATTTGCCCAGCTGACAAAATGCTGGGTCGAAGCGTTGCCCGCACACAGCGCTGCGGGCGATGCTCCAGAGCAACTTCCAGACCGCAGTGCGAGAAAAGCTGTGGCTCCAAAGCTGTTCAGCTTGCAGTTGTCAAGAATGTATCAGTGTTTGGGCATGAGAATATGAATCTTGAAGATTCTTGGGGGGGTAGAGATTTGGTTGACTTCGTACAGCAAAAGATCTTCGTTTCTTGTCATTGGGCTTCACTGCTGTCTGAGCTTCGTGATTCATCTGCATGCGATTCCTCTCATCCCACTCTGTAAATTGATGTGGTTCAGATTAACCAACTAGGTCCAACAGCATGAATTTGTGGATCACGCCGGGTCAAAGCTTACAATTTTCTTCCAACTTCAACATTTCCAGCGTTTTTTTGGACAGCTTGGATATCTTAGAATCAGACGTATGACGTAGTACGGACATGGCAGCGACAGAAAACAAAGGAGGTGCATCCTAGTTGGACATAGCGGTTGATATTTTCAACTGCCATGTTGCGCAGACATCGCCATGGATTCCAATGATTCGAAATCAAAGCACAGCAGGCGTCGAATTGTCCGATTGGTTTCCGGGTGTTTCGAAAACGAAAGTGCATATTAAATGTTTGGTGTGAACGGAATCAAATATATCCAATGTCTTCGGAACAACAAAAACATGTAAAACATGCAAGGTACATTGGTCGCTTGTGACCCTATTCACTGTTTGTACGTTTTGAACCAAGAAAGATAGGGTCACAAGTGACTAAGTGTGCTTGGAGTCCCACGCCTGTCACACAAAATTGGTGTGTCCCCTTTGTGGTCGCTTGTGACCCTATTCGTGCCCGAAGTATCATTTTTGAAGGAAGTCTCGCAGAAAAGCTTGGTTTTTGAGTTTCGAAGCTTCATTTTTGAAGGAAGTCTCGCAGAAAAGCTTCGTTTTAGAGTTCAAAACGCAGATAGAAACATATGTAGGTTTTTGAAGGATATATATATATATATACACATACATACATACATACATACATACATACAGACATACATACATACATACATACATTGTATACCATGGCTTTGTGGACTGCAGGGAGCAAGTCTAAATGAAGAAATACATTGTAGACCATTGCAGTGTGGAACGCATGGGGGGGGAAGTTAAAATGAAGAAGTCGAATGGTGACCATTGAATGGTGGAGCGCAGGGGGGGAAGTTTACATAAAGAAGTAGAATGGAGACCATGGTTCAGTGGAACGCAGGGGGGGAAGTTTAAATAAAGAAGTAGAATGGAGACCATGGTTTGGTGGAACGCAGGGGGGGGGAATTTCAATAAAGAAGTAGCACGGAGACAATGGTTGGGTGGAACGCAGGGGGGGGGGAAACTTGAAATAAAGAAGTAGAATGGAGACAATGGTTTAGTGGAACGCAGGGGGGGGAAGTTTAAATAAAGAAGTAGAATGGAGACCATGGTTTGGTTGGATCGCAGGGAGGAGGAAGTTTAAATAAAGAAGTAGAATGGAGACCATGGTTTAGTGGAACGCAGGGGGGGAAGTTTAAATAAAGAATTAGAATGGAGACCATTGTTTAGTGGAACGCAGGGGGTGGAAGTTTAAATAAAGAAGTAGAATGGAGATAATGGTTTAGTGGAACGCAGGGGGGGGGAGTTTAAATAAAGAAGTAGAATGGAGACCATGGTTTGGTGGAACGCAGGGGGGGAAGTTTAAATAAAGAAGTAGAATGGAGTCCATGGTTAGTGGAACGCAGGGGGGGGAAGGAAGTAGAATGGAATGGTTTGGTGGAACGCAGGGGGGGGAAGTTTGAAAACGCAGGGGGGGGAGTTTAAATAAAGAATTAGAATGGAGACAATGGTTTAGTGGAACGCAGGGGGGGGGAAGTTTAAATAAAGAAGTAGAATGGAGACCATGGTTTAGTGGAACGCAGGGGGGGGTGAGTTTAAATAAAGAAGTAGAATGGAGACCATGGTTTAGTGGAACGCAAGGGGGGGAAGTTTAAATAAAGAAGTAGATGGAGACCATGGTTTAGTGGAACGCAGGGGGGGGTAAGTTTAAATAAAGAAGTAGAATGGAGACCAAAGAAGTAGAATGGAGACAATGGTTTAGTGGAACGCAGGGGGGGAAGTTTAAACAAAGAAGTAGAATGGAGACCATGGTTTAGTGGAACGCAGGGGGGGAAGTTTAAACAAAGAAGTAGAATGGAGTCCATGGTGTGGTGGAACGCAGGGGGGGAAGTTTAAACAAAGAAGTAGAATGGAGACCATTGAATGGGTGGAACGCAGGGGGGGGGAGTTTAAATAAAGAATTAGAATGGAGACCATGGTTTGGTGGAACGCAGGGGGCGGGAAGTTTAAATAAAGAAGTAGAATGGAGACAATAGTTTAGTGGAACGCAGGGGGGGAAGTTTAAATCAACAATTAGAATGGAGACCATGGTTTGGTGGAACGCAGGGGGGAAGTTTAAATAAAGAATTAGAATGGAGACCATTGTATGGTGGAACGCAGGGGGGGGAGTGTAACTAAAGGGATCGGGTCGCAGGTGACCGGATAATAGGGTCGCAAGTGACCATGGTACCACATGCAATCAATGAAGTTGAGGTGCGAACTATATCAAAAGCAGCACCGCGCCACAACGAGAGCGATCTGACACCAGCGGGTTGCGCGAACAGTATCAACATCAATGCCGCGCAGAGCGATTCGACTCGCGCAAAGTGACGAGAAGGTTGCGCGAACCGTATCAATATGAGCATTGCATGCGCCTCAACGAGAGCGATCCGATGCGCTCAAAGTGACAAGATGGCTGCGCGAACTTTAGCTAAATGACCGCAACGAGAGTGATGCGACATCGTCAAAATTCACTAAATACTGCGCTTGCCACGAAAAATGCCTTCTGAAAGAGCGTCTCATTTGCATCCACGCCTGCCACCGTTTTTAGCAGCGTGCAAGAAGTAGTGCGCCTGCCACGCAGAGGACAAGTGCCCCATGTCCAGTGCCTGCTGCCACATGCACAAAACAAGGTTCTGCCCTTCCAAAAGCGACGAATCTCTTGCGCCTGCGGCGAAAAGCGCGCATAGCTCCAGAAACGGACACTGCACGCTGGTGAGAACGCACCTTTGCAAGCCAGGTTCCAGGCCCACGTTTCGCACGAGACTTCCCTCGAAAACGTAATATCGAGATATATCGAGGAACTTTTGTTTGTAAGGGTCACCAAATCCCCTTCCGTGAAAACCCTAAGCGTGAACACGCCCGAATGATGAAAAAACATGACAGGGGTGACCCTCAGATGAGAAACCGTGAGCGAACCTGTGTCTACACGCGCCAAAGGAGTAATAGGAACTGGGAATGGACCTTTTAGGGCAGGAGGGTCGTCCATTTTGATCACTGTGAGTTTGTTGGAGGGGAACGACCTAGAACACTTAGCAGCATACAGTGACATACAGAGACATTACATGCTGGAATTTGAATGAATTTGATGGATTTTGAAGTTTGCACGTTGCTTGTTTTCAGTGCTTTGGTCAGTGCATGTTCATGCATTCATCGCAAGAGATGAGGTCACTGGCATTCAAAGTCTCAACCAAAAATTGAGTCCGATAAAAGTGCCGCCGTGATCGCTGTGGTGTGTGTTGACTTGCAGGAGGCTACACCACCTCTCGCAGCTGGTGGTGCGCTGAGTGCTCAAGTACACTAGTTATGTTAGGTACATCTTGCTATCAGATACCACCAGGGTTGATGCCACTAGCCTTGCGGTAGTTGAACAGAGTTTGCAGCTGTCCCGCTTGAAGAACCAAACCCTGCGTGAGCCAAGCCGAGAGCTCGAGGAACCAATAGGTGATGTCCCTTCCAGCCTTGTTTCTTTGGGGCTGTGCGGGAGCGAATTGTCATTCCGGTGACTGGCCTCAATGTGCTCT